CTTCTATGGTACAAAGCAACTCAAAGACAAGCAGTGATACAACTCAAGTTCCTAAGAGAAGTTTTTAGGAGGTGGAATTTGAAAAGATTGCTACCACTACTCCACTACCTGTTTAGATTGAATAAGAAGTAAATGAAGGTCAAGAAGATGAAGATGTCTCTTCACAGGATGAAGAAGAGACTCATACCCAACAGCCTCCAGTTATAGAGTGCATTGCTACAAGCAAAGCCAAGAGAAATACAAAGAGACTAGCAAAATATAGTGATTATGTTATTTATGCTCTTCCTATTATTAATGCAGAAATACCAGAAAGTTATAAGGAAGCTGTGAAATCCCGTTCCTGGATTTCATTATTATAATCTACGTATTGGTATTATAGAGATTTTATATTATTTTTTGGGAAATTAATTATTTAAAATCCATTCACAATTTATATTGTATTGTTGAATAGATATTGAGATCACAAATGTATAGGCGAAAGCCGTTTGTGAGTCCGGATTATAACGGTATAGTTATGGACGTTTGAAGTTGTTGCTAAAAAAAAAAACAAAACAAAAAAAAGAATAAAAAGAGAAGAAAAAGCCATGGGAGTGGCTGAAAGAAAGAAGGAAAAAAAAAAGCCACGGGAGTGGCGAGAGAAAAGGAGAAGAAGAAAAAAAAAAAAGGGAATGGACCCCCTATCCTCCTCAATCATCACCTGAAATCACCACCACACTCCTTCTCCTTCGATATTCATTCAAGATTGGACAAAATTTGGGTTGAATTTGGTGAAACTCGCATCGGTGGGTGCGAGGGTTCCTTGTCTTCAATCCGCCATTTTGGAAACGATTTCCTTCGATCTCCACCACCATTGGACTCCCCTTGAGCCCTGGAACCAATCAGTTGTAGGGGCGACGAAACACCGAGGAGGTCGAATTGAAGCACATCCAATTTCTAGGGTTTCGGCGGGTTTGTCGTGAATTGAGGTGTTTCTCGGCCAAATTGGCCTTAGTCACAGGTATGAAACTTCATCTACTCTTCATAATCTTCAAGTTCATATGCTTGGTTCATGTTGTCGTATTCATTTTAGTGTTGGGTGTTTAGAACCCTAGAAATCCAGTTTACTCCGGTGAATTTGGACATTTTCGGATTAGAATTTATCGTCGGCCTAGTTGTGAAAAGTGTATCCCTTGTTGAGCTCTAGCTACCACGTAAATTTGAGCTCATTTAGTTAATATTGAAAATTTAGGTTTTCAAAATCCTCCACCTTGGCTACCACCGCGTGTGGCGGTGCGTGGGACCGTCCACGAGTGTTATCTAAGTACTACATACCTTCTAGTGGCCCTATAAACCTATGTCTAGCTCGGTTTCCCGAAATTCAATTGTTTGATATGGTGATCAAATTGGACCACCACTTGTTTGTATGATTGACGACAACAATTTTGTGAACACCTTAGTTATCAGTTGTTAGACCTTTGAGAACTTACGGATCTGAAATCCGATGTGCAGATCTTCCGATTTGAATAACCTTAGATTGTTGATCTTAATGGACCGACCTTATCGACGGTTGACGTTTAGTCAACGTGCTATACTCTAGAGTGTTGTTTATCTCTAGTTTGTTGTTGAGGCTTGATGGAACTTAGTTGGCTCATCACGATGATGTGTCGTTCTCGGTTGATGTGTGTCTCGATATATGTATTAGTGGCATCATATTGAGTTATACTTGTTAATTAAATGTGCTTTCTATTAAAGTGTTATTTTATTTTTAGCATCGATCTATGTTTATTAATTGTGATTCGACTGTAGCTTGGGAACGTTCATGAAATGTGGTTAGATATGTATGATCAGTATGATGTGTATGATTGTTTTTAGGACGATGTGAACCCAAAATCTTATGAGAAGTATTATGTGTAACTTTCATGCCTGTATGATAAGATAGTTAGTGGTCATGAGAAGTTGATAGTGCAAGTGATTCCGTTGAGTGATGGTCTGGAATCGTTTCTTGGTTTAGATTTCGTTAAGTGGTCCAAAGTTGCATCACTTGACTTGTTGGTTTCTTAGATTTGATATCAGCTTCAGAGATGTAGGTTTGGCTTAACTGTGTCACTCTAGCCTTAGTTTTAGAATATTTGTGAGCAGTGGCTTTGAGAATCTTGTGAATTGAATTAGAAAAGTTGTTGGACATGTGACTCTTTCAGGATTTTCTATGATTCAATTATGATTTCATAAAGTATGAATTTAGAAGATATGGTTATAGTTGTTATTATTTTGGACAAATTAGTTAATTAATGTGGCTAGAGAATTGTATTGTGCTTCGTCGGTTCCTTGATATGATATATGTTATTAATTGCGGTATCATGTTGCGACATAATGACTTATATAGAAGATGGAAGGGAAATCATGATTTTCAAGTGGGTTTGTTATGTAACCCTGAGTCTAGTAATTTCATGCTTGTCAAGTTCTATTGATTGATTGAGAAATGTTATGCCTTTCGGCTTAAACGGACTGTGACAGATGTCAATTATAGTGCATGACGAACTATTAATGGCTTGATCCCTGTTTAGGGTACGTAGGCAATGTAACGAGGAGGTTAGATGCAGCCATAAAGCATACGAAAAATTACTATGCGATTCGATTATCGAATTATGCTCTGCCCATATCCCAGAGGCGGGGTATGATAGATACGGGTATTAGGTGACGTCACGTGTCGATCCTAGACGTATGTTGGGATCAGGGCGTGACAGAAGCTATGAGCAACTCTGAAAATACAGAGTGGGGTAAGGCTATGAATGAAGAAATGAATTCTCTTATGAAGAACAACACTTGGGAGTTAGTTCAATTGCCTCCCAGCAAGAGAGCTATTGGCTGCAAGTGGGTGTATACTAAAAAGAAGGTCGTCTAGGAGAAGACAGTGTAAGATTCAAAGCACGAGTGGTAGCAAAAGGATATGCACAAAAGGATATGCACAAAAGGAAGGTATTGATTATAATGAAGTATTTTCTCATGTTGTGAAGCATTCATCTATTTGTATTATGTTAGCCTTTGTTGCACAATTTAATCTTGAACTAGTGTTAAGACAACTGTCTTACATGGAAATCTTGATGAAGAAATTTACATGTCTCAGCCTAATGGGTATCAGGTAACTGGAAAAGAGAAATGGGTTTGTAAATTGAATAAGTCTTTATATGGATTGAAGCAATCTCCAAGACAGTGGTATTTGAAGTTTGACGAATTCATGAGAGGTCAACACTATTTAAGAAGTCAATATGATCATTACGTTTATTTCAAAAAGTTGCAAGATGGATCTTTCATTTATTTATTATTGTATGTTGATGATATGTTTGCATCGAAGAATGTTAAGGAGATTGAAAAGTTGAAAGCACAGATGAAGAACAAGTTTGAGATGAAAGATCTTGGTGAAGCGAAAAAGGTACTCGGTATGGAAATTACTCGTAACCGAGAAAAAGGCTTGGTGTATCTTACACAAAAGCAATATTTGTGTAAATTGCTTCAATGTTTTGGTATTAATGATGCCACCAAACCTGTAAGTACTCTAATGGCTCTTCACTTTAAGTTGAGCGCTTTGTTATCTCTAAAAAACAATGAAGAGAAGCTGCAGATGAAGAATATTCCATATTCTAATTTGGTTGGTGGCTTGATGTATACTATGGTATGTTCTCGACCAGATATTGCTCATGTTGGTGGTTTGGTTAGTCGTTATATGCACAATCCAGGAAAAGAACATTGGCAAACAACTAAGTGGATTCTAAGATACCTACATGGGACTAGAGATGTCGACTTATGTTTTCAGCGAAGTGATAGTAGTTTTGAGAATTTTGTGGTTGAATATGTTGATTCTGACTGTGCTGGAGATTTGGATAAAAAAAGATCGACCACTGGCTACGTATTTACCATGGCCAAAGGGCCAGTTAGTTGGAGGTCCACATTACAATCCACAGTTGCTTTGTCAATAACGGAGGTTGAATATATGGCTATTGAAGAAGCTGTAAAGGAGGCCATTTGGATACATGGATTGATAAAAAATCTAGGAATTTATCAAAAGTAGGTGGAGCTACATTGTGATAGTCAAATTTCTATTCACTTGTCAAAATTCCAAGTTTATCATTCGGGGACAAAGCATATCGATGTTCGGTTTCATTTTATTCGTGAGATTTTTTTCCAAAAGAAAGATTATTCTTCAGAAAGTTCCAACTGTGGACAATCCATCTGATATGTTAACTAAAGTGCTCAGACCTACCAAGTTTGAGCATTGTGTGAACATAGCTCATATACTATGTGCCTGAATATATTTGTGATTACGAATCTCACCAAGGTGGAGATTGTTGACATGTGGCTCGATATAAATCTTGGTCAATTACTTTGTATTGGTTATCCTTGTTTTTCTCTCCATCACAAACTTGTTTATGGCTTTATGTATTAGAAGGCAAACCATTTGTTTTGTAATAAAAGGAGCTCATGTAGAAATAATTTATGTGAGCCAATTTGTGAGATTGTTCTTTGTACATTTCTTATCTCAATCATTGAATAAATTGAGAGTTATTTCTTTCATTTTACTTGTTCCATTTGGTGCTCAAGCACAACAATTCATTCATCCATTCTTAGTGCAAAATAAAAAGTTCATGAGAGAGTTTACTGATCACAGAAACAAAATCTACCGAAAACTTATCACTGGTACGGCCTAAATCCCGGATTTGGAGACGTTGGATGAATCTAACAAAGGTATGACTAAAAGATATCGTAAAGCACAAAGGAAGAAGCAGATTAAGAAAGAATAAAGGCTGGGAGTTAGATGGTGACTTACTAACATGAATTCTGAGATGGTGAGAATTAGAGCAATATCATTAGCATTCATTTATCTAAAGACACTGGATATTCAACCAAGTACAACAATTCAGATATGGTCCGTGTCTCTACAAGTATCTGTCTCAATTAATTGTTCAAAAAATTCACCAAGCTTCTTCGCTTCATTAGACATTGTCGAACTAGACCCAGGGGACGTCTCAGAGCCCAGCCACATATAGGCTAACTTGGCAGATACCATTTTCAACCTCGGGGCTCAAATTCCGGTAACCATTAAGCTGATCGGATAAATCAATAGTGAGTTGCTTCATTTATTATAAGATGGTAACTAGTAACAATGCTTTTTGCTGATTTGTTCTGTGTAGTTAAAGCTAGCACTTCTAGGTCCACTTGGAGCTGCCTCGTCATGATATTCATGTGTTCGTTTTAGAATTTTCAGTGTTTGGTTGAGTTCTTCCAAATCTTGCTTGTATACCAAACGAGCCCCACACTTCTTCACCTTATTCAAGTCTGCTTTTACTTTTACCCCTCCAATACAACTAAAGTAAGTCTCAAATAAAAACTGTTCCTGATGACAAATTTCACGAGGCAACTGAAATGCCCAAAGGTGTTCTGACACAAGAGACCCTATCATCTTTGAACAAATCATAGGGTACAAGGGTTTTGATAAAAACTCAAATTTTAAATTAATATGATAAAAATGTGCAGCTGGACCTGGATTGACCAAGTTTTCCTTAGGAACTTGAAAAACAACACAAAAGGCAATTCCCAGCCAGTTGGTACATGATGTGGGAGGAAGCTCCATATTTACTGAGTCTCCCACACTTTGATTACTGAACCACTCCGGAATTTCGCTTCCAGGGAATACAACTTGTGGCTTTCGGTAATAATCATGTAACCAAAGAACTATTATATATATGTTGTTGGAAAAAATTAGTATTTTGGTTTATTTGAATGTTTTGTTTTTTAGGCTTAGCCCGTTAGCATTAGGGTTTTGATTTCTTACCTTTTAGGATTAGGATTAGTTTATTATAAATAACATACTTGTTATTTAGTCGAAAACAAGTTAGTCACGATGTAGTCTCTTGAGATTTTGTAGCCATTTCGGTATTCTTGTTTGTTTAATAATATTTTTATTATTTTGTAATCTTGTTCGTTGCACACTCTGATTTTCAACTTATGTATGTGTGTGTGTGTGTCTATATATATATATATATATATATATATATATATATAGAGAGAGAGAGAGAGAGAGAGAGAGAGAGAGAGAGAGAGAGAGAGTACCTTGTTCTGAGTGGCAAATTTTAGAATCCTTGAGAGTATTGTATTAGTCCAGCCTTCATCTTGAACCAATGCAATGCAATTCCGGCAAGTGAAACTAAAATCATACAAATTGGTGAATCTGCTGCTCAACTTGGATGTATCTGACAAACTTCGTAAGGAAGTACAATCGTCTACATCTACATGCAATTTGCCATTAGATGGAAGAGGTGGCAATTTTTGAAGGCTTTTGCAGCTCGACAGACCAAGATAATAAAGCTTAGAAAGGCATCTAATGCTTTCAGGTAGACTGACGAAATTATTTTCACCAAGATCCAATTTTTCCAAAAAGGACAAGCAACCAATATCATCGGGGATATCCCCTTCACAGAGTTTACAATCTGTTAGATTTATGGTCCTCAAAGTGCATAAACGATTTAGATAAGAAAACATCAAACCCCAACAAGGAGGAGGACCAGGAGCACTCTTTCCAAGTCCTAATATGCGGAGAAGGCCCCACTTGTCCCTTGCTTTAGCATACGATCTGCATAATAGTAGTTGTTTGAGATTTTTCATCCCCATAAGCGGCTCTGTCAAAGTGGCTTCCAATCCAAGAGCCTCTAAGTGATCCATGTCTCCTGGAAGTTTGTGGATTTTTGAGCACTTTCCCACATAGAGGCGTCTAAGAGACTTCAAATTACAAATAGCCTCTGGAAGGTTCAAGAGATTTTTGCAATTAAATAGATTCAAATCCTTAAGGCCAACCAAATGTTCAATTGATGATGGCATTTTCTCAATTGCAGTCCCGCTTAAGCGAAGCTTGGATAAGTTCTTCATCTGCTTCCCAAATTCTGGAATCTTTTTCACATTTGAGCAGCCACTAAGATATAAGGATTCCAGAGAATCCATTTCAACCTCACTTGGGAGGCTCTTAATGCTTTCACACCATGCAAGGTCTAGAACTTTAAGTTTTTTAAGGACTGCAATAGAGGGGTGTATCTCAACTAAATTCTTACATTCAAAAAGATTCAACTCTACAAGTTTTGGAACACCACTGAAATCTGGGGTACTGATCAAATTTTTGGAGAAGCCAAGATTGATATATTTCAAGTTGGGCAAGTCCTGTACAACACCGATAAGGTTTAGATCCTATACTTAGCTTTTACAACCTTAAAGTTTATCCAAAATAATAAATAAATGATTATTTTATAATTTATATAGCATTTATTCAATATTACTCTTACCAATTTTCCCTTCCAAAGCCGAACAAGTTTGCTCTTTCGCATCGCAAGTTGAGTAAGCAAATGCGGGTGAAAGCTGGTTGGAAGAAACTTGGAAGGATAGAAACTCCAGTTTATAATTCTCAAGGAACATGGAAGAAATTTAGGACCTGAAGAAATGATCAAATTATTGAATTCCAGAAACCTCAGTTCATGCATATTAGAGAAGGCTTCCGAATTCCAGTGCACCTCTTTTGATTCGGGTAACCGTAAGACTATGCCTTCAATAGCACGTGTCCCCTAATAACCAAGAAGGTAGGAAACGTCAATTTCACATACTAATATTATGTTAATAGAAATCATATCCTTTTTTGAACTTGGTATTTACATAATTTCTTACCGTATTGGTCATGAATACATGAAAAATGTCATTGGGAATCCACAACCTACTACGTAGACCAGGCTCTTCAGACTCTTGACGAACAATTGTCCATGCCATTTGTTGTATCAAATCATGCATCCCTATCATGTTTCCGTAATCATTGTATAGAAGAGATCTCTCAATTAGCAAATCTATTAGAATACAACTAGAAATTCCAAAAGAATTGTCTAGTACTTGAATTACTTGCTTTGTGTACTTCCCTTTGTGGAAACATGCAACATCAAGGAAAATTCTCTTCTCCATCAACCGGAGTCCATCATAACTAACTTTGAGCGAATAAAAAATTGTTTGATTGGGAATTTTATGTAGATTATCCAACTCACTATTCCATGCATCTCGCCCTCTCGTATACAAAAAAGACCCTAAAACTTTAAGAACTAATGGAAGTCCTCTGGCATAGTTTAGGAAACGCTCAGAGAGTTCCAAAAAGTCTTCCTCGGGTTGGTCTTTTTTGAAGGCATTCAAGCTAAAGAGCTCAAGAGCTTCTCCATAATTCAATCCCTCAACCTTATATGATGTTGCTATACCATTCTGGACGAGCAGACCTTCATTTCTTGTTGTAATGATAATTCTACTCCCCATACCAAACCAACTTTGATTCCCAGCCAGTACTTCTAGTTGGTTTAATTCATCCACATCATCAAGTACGAGAAGAACCTTCTTATTGCACAAGCACTTCTTACTGTAAATTCTTCCCCACTCTTCATCCCAAATTTCTTCAATCTTTTCCTTCAAGATTGGGAAAAGAAGTTGTTTTTGAAGGCCAACAACAGTATGATCTCTTGCACAAACCTCTCTAACATTGGCAAGAAAACAGTGAACTTCAAAACGATGGAAGATTTTGTCAAAAACTAGCTTAGCAAGGGTTGTCTTGCCTATGCCACCCATCCCAGTTATCCCAATAAAGTGAACATCATTTGCATCAAGAGCTAATAGCATAGTTAGTTGCTCGAGCGCGGAATCAATTCCGACTAACTTCTGTGAGGAATCTGACAAAGTGATTGTAGCTTGCACCTTCCTCCACACACATTTGGCGATGTCATCAATCAGCTCTCTTTCACACCTGCAAAGAAGAAAAATAGAATAACAAAAAAGAGAACATAAGTAAGCAATCAAGTATGGATGACTATATTAAGACATGGGCAAGTTGTTCATGCTTGCTTACTTAAAATTCTTCAAATCCCACCCAGAAATTTTCGACACTGTTTTTAAAGCAGCTTTCCACTGAGTCACCTTCATTTTGTCTTCAGTGCTAGTCAACTTTCCTTCATGCTTGGCGAAGGCTTCGGCAAATCTCCCCCTCTGATTTCCTACGTCAGAGGGATCCACACCATAAAAGACTGGGAGAATTGAGTTCCTGGCTTCCATGCACTGAATAATGTTTGTAAGCTCAGTCAAGCACCATTTGGAAGAAGCATAGTTTGGCGAGAGAACAACAATTGCAGTATGTGATTCTTTGATCGCACTCGGGAGCTCCAGAGGAATACTTGTTCCACCTGCAAGCTCTCGGTCGTCCATGAAAGTCATAATTCCTTGGCACTTGCACAATTCGTGGTATAGATGGGAGACAAAACCCTTGCGGGTGTCTACACCTCTGAAACTCAGAAACACGTCGTACTTCCATTGAGGAGCTGATTCAGATGAAAGAAGAGATACAGAGGCCCTTTGCGTGCTCAACGCCATTGCAAAGTGGCTCCTCACAATCTGAGAGGAATGGTAATTGTCAGCAGAAAACCACTCACACCAAAGTAGGAACGGATGATGAAAGAGGGTTTATCTTCTTTTTTTTTTGTCTCTTTCGCCAATGGTCTTCGTTCTCTCTATTTAATTATTTGGATGATCAAACAATATTTAAGTATTATATTACATTATCAAGACATTAAAACAGGAAAGTGATCATCTCCAAATCTCTTCCACCAAGATCACTGGCTCATTTGATCTAGGCATTTCAAATATCATCCAACGGCTCATTTATTTTGATTCCTTAAAAATTGTGATAAATTTTTGTTGTTGGATGGAATTTGAAAGGCTCAGATCACTTGATCCAGTGACTTTGATGGAAGAAATCCGGAGATGATCTCTTTACATTAAAGTAAACAAAAGATTAACTATTTGATCATTGAGAACTAAAGCATCTCAGCACGTGAAAGGAGACTTGACTTCATAAGTTGACAATTAAAACTGGAAAAATAATGAAAAGACAAAAGTTGACAATTAAAAACGTGTGAAATGAGACTTAACTTAATAGCTATGAAATTTCAGGAAAGCATAATCTCAACGCCTTGCAAAAATTCTTGAGAAACTGAAGTATAGTTTGAATAAAATTTCAAGGAAGCTCACTCTTAATGCGTTGTGAAAAATCTTTTGAAGTAACAAAAATAATTAAATAATCATGTAACAAGTGCATGTTCGTGAATGGAAGTCCAGATATATATTGAAGCATACTCGAATACTTTCTGAATAAACCAGACAAAATTGCAGGCATCATCCGTATACCAAGAACCATCATCCGAAGATTCACAATTCTCATCAAATAGTTTAACTGAGACATGTGCTGATACTTTTGGTGCAGTCATATATAAAGGGTGAAATGTCGATTTAATTCCTAAACTATCACTTTAGTTAAACTCAAAAACACGTCATATTAAATTGAGGAGTTGATTCAGATGAAAGAAAAGATGCAGATGCCCTTTGCGTGCTCAACGCCATTGCAAAGTGGTTCCTCACAATCTGAGAGGAATGGTAATTGTGGGCAGAATATCACTCACACCAAAGTAGGAACAGATGATGAAGAGAGGTTTTATTTTTTAATTTTTTATAATTTTTAATTTTGGTCTCTTTCGTCAATGGTCTTTGTTCTCTCTCGTTAATTATTTGGATGATCAAACAATATTTAATTATATTAAGTTACATTATCAAGACGTTAACGTAAACAAAAGATTAATTATTTGATCATTGAGAACTAAAGCATCTCACCAACTCTAAATAAATAAATACACAGTTGTATGTGGAGCCAAAACAAAGAACTGGAAAAAATATGGGAGGACAAAACTTCACGACTAAAAACATGTGAAATGAGACTTGACTTAATGGTTACGAAATTTCAGGAAAGCACACTTTCAATGTGTTGTGAAAATTCTCGAGAAATTAAAGTATAGTTTGAATGAAATTTCAAGGGAGCTCACGCTCGACGTGTTGTGAGGAGTCTTTCTAAGTAACAAAAATAATTAAATAGTCATGTAACAAGTGCATGTTCGTGAATGAAAGTCCAGGTATAAGTTGAAGCATACTCTTAAATTTTTCGAATAAAGCAGACAAAATTGCAAGCATCATCCGTATACCAAGAACCATCATCGGAAGATTCACAATTCCAAGGTTGTAAAAGACGCTAGACGCTAATTGGGCGATGGACTGGGACCTAGCGCCTAGGCGATTAGGCGGACTAGGTGGATTTATGTAAATCTATTATATTTCACGTAAATAAGTGTCAGTTTATACTTAAAATATAAACAATTTCATTATAAATTACAAAATAAAATTATATTTATATACAGGCCCTTTAAAAAAAATAATGGGGACACCCTATTGACCATTAGATTTGGCTTTAATGAAATTATGTGGTTGAGATTAAATCACAGGCCACAGAATTTCATTAAAGCCAAATCTAACGGTCAAGAAGGTGTCCCTATTTTTTTTGAAAAATGGGAATCCGTTCCCTTAAAGGCTTCAGATATATATATATATATATATATATATGAAAACATACGGAACAAACATATAATATGTGTTCATTTAAGTTTACAACAAGTCTTTTGCAATTTATTGAAAAAAATCAAATGCAAAATGAAAATGATCTATTTTTTGTCTAAATGAGTTGCAACCTAGGCGGGTGCCTAAGCGGTCTAGGAGGGCGCCTTAGCAGGTGTAGGTACCATTTCTTAATTCTCAAACACCTAGGCATGAGGTTGTGACTAGCTGCTTAGTCCCTAGGTGGGGCCTAAATGGAGCTAGGCAAAGATTTTTAAAACAGTGCACAATTCTCATCTGCTTAGTCCCTAGGTGGGGCCTAAATGGAGCTAGGCAAAGATTTTTAAAACAGTGCACAATTCTCATCAAATAGTTTAACTGAGACTTATGCTAATACTTTTGGTGCAGTCATATATAAGAAATGTTTCGACTCCTTCATGCTGTAGCAAAATTCTCACGACAAATATAACCAATTTGAGTTCCCACAGTCCATAAAGAAAGCAAATATCTCAAATAAAAAGCAACTAAGCAACCTATTTTGAATCCATTAACCGGAGTGTTTGATGATAGAACGTTCCACTTATGGGTATGTGTATACCCGTTTATGCAATTACGCAATAGACAAACGGTTATACGAGGTAAGAGCTTAAATGGTTATGAATAAATAACTGCAGTTACTCTCCCGCCATAACCACTGCTCATCTATACCTTATAATTTGATGAGTAATTTTAAGAGAGTGTAACTTTTTTTTCCCCACCATTTTTAAACATGTAGAGAAACATCAAGGTGATGGAAGGCAATCATTGAAGATGGGTGGTGGCTTGCTGCTGCTTTCTCTAAAGGAAAAAGCAAGGGGACTACATTTAGTAGATCACTTCTAAACTACCTCTTTAATAGAAGTGGACTATATGTCTATTAGAGAGGTGTTTAGATGCGGTTTACCAAATGGGATCTCTTTAGTATCACTAATCTCAAAAGTTAACACTAGAGGTGTATTGTTCTTGTTGAGTCATTACAAATTATTATATTCAAAGGGTGTTGTTTGTACCATACTTGACCAATCCCGAAACTATTGAGCACCAGTCAACGTTATACCATCAAGGACCCAGAAGAGTTTCCCTCCAACCAGAAGGCCAATCACAGCGCGACACGTGTCGACATCAGAAGCCAATCATAGCGCGACACGTGTCAACATCAGAAGCCAATCACAACACGACATGTGTCAATGTCAGAATGAAACTAGAAACTCTCTTCTATAAATAGAGATCATTCTCTCACAATATTTCCTAATGTCATTTGTACTAAATCATTCACTAGTACTCACTAAAGGAGAGCTTGAACCTATGTATGTGTAAACCCTTCACAATTAATGAGAACTCCTCTACTCCGTGGACGTAGCCAATCTGGGTGAACCACGTACATCTTGTGTTTGCTTCCCTGTCCCTATCCATTTACATACTTATCCACATTAGTGACTGGAGCAATCTAACGAAGGTCACAAACTTAACACTTTCTATTGTACCAAAGTCCTCATTGATTTTGTGCATCAACATTTGGCGCCGTCTATGGGAACGACACTTATTCCCACTCTTTTCAGCTTTGTTAAGCTAGTTTCCACCATTCGTACACTCTCTTTTGACCAGGCATCCTTTTCCAACATTGGGAGCGAAGGAAGCCACAGTACACCGAATGACACCCTTCTTGCACCTGGTGTGAAGCAACGAAAGAAGGAACAAAAGAAGTTTGCTCTTCAGGCTAAAGTCGATGAGCTGGAAGCTCAGAACAACAAGATAGCGATGAAGAATGAGATCCTCCAAGAGTAGTATGAGAAGGTCTTCAAGATTCTCCACGAGGTTAGATATACTAAAACACACTAGCTTATCACCCCTGTGGAAGTCAACCATCAACTGGGTGCCCCCCAACACGGAGGGTCATTTGCCCTCGACATGGGTATTCATGTTGAGGAGCGAGCTACTCATCGAAATGTCGACCAACATAAGACTTCTCTCAACCCAGCTGCTTCGACCCGAAGCAGAATGAGTGGAGGAAGACACCTCCTTACGAAAGGAATGAAAGGATCGAAAGCCGTCTTTCGTGACTGTTGAGACTTCCTAAAGCAACGTCGAGACAATACCATCTATGTAAGCTCGAAGATCAATGACCCAAGGGTCTTTGAAAGACTCGGTCCCCTTCCATGTCCCAGGCTGGCTACCAATTTGGGGAAGGGGCAACAAGTCCTAGAGAAACATGAAGGTATAGGGGACTCAGAGATGTTCCGACAGACATACCTTGGAAGTCAGTACGGCGAGTCCAAGGAAAAATCACATGCTCTTGATCAAACCTTCCTACTTCCAATAGGAGATGGAGATTTACGAAAGAAAGCTCCAACGGTACATGACTCTACTTAGGACCCTCTTGTCTTACAGCTTCTTAAGGAAGTAAACAAGCTGAAGGCCAAACAACAAGCTGAGATACGTGATTGGAACCAACCTAGGCCTGGCTGTCTTACAAGGAGAATTCTCGACACCTCCCTCTAAGGAAAGACAAAGCAGAAGCTTGGCTTGCAACTCTATACTGGAAAGGAGGACCCGATTGAACACCTTAACCTCTTTGAGTCCACCATGGTATACCAACGAAGAGCGATGTCTTCTTTTCCCTTCCACCCTCTCTGGCAGAGCTCTAAACTGGTATTGTCGTCTTCCACCTGAGACGGTAGACTCATTTGAGGAATTGAGAAAACTGTTTGTTTCTCAACACATTTTCCAGACCGATCGCTTGCACTCTGCGGATGACTTGTACACCATACGCCAGAAGCCAGACTAGTCATTACGTACGTATGCTAGCCGCTTCAGCCATGAGTATTCCCGTTGTGCCAAGACAAACGACAAGACTGTCCTCAAAGCCTTCACGGTAGGCCTACGTGACTGTTTCTTTAAGTACTTGATCAATGCCAACACTTGGAAGACTTACTCTGAGGTGATGGCGCATGCTTATAACCATTCATCTTCCGAGGCAAGGACA